TGACATCGGCACCTAGCAGGAGCCTCGCTGTCAGCCCGTAGTATCGTGCGTTGCAGTGTGGAATGCATCGTTGCATTCCCCACCAACCCATGTGTCATGCCGCTGCCACCCTCAGGCAATGCCGCCATGTACTCCGTACAGTAAACGCTGAAAAGCCTGTGTGGTCATGTGACCAAACGAATAAAGGCAGCATTTACGGGGAGCGCAAGCAATGGCACTTTATAGGAATATTTTTAAGTTGCCTTTTCAACGCCTTTTTTTTTCATCCCTTTCCCTCATTTCAGTGCTGCCGATCCTCTCCAATCTCTTTCATCCACTTCCTGTCTACATACACTTGCTGCAGCATCATTGCTCTGGATTGGCTTTCTGTCATCGCAGCGGACCATGTGTGCACTGTGTTTGTCGGCACAGCCACCTGTAGGCTCAACCCTTTGTGACAGGCTGGCAACGTAGAGACATTTGTCACCCCATAACAGGAAGTGCCTGAACGAAGACCTTCATGGCAGGATCACCAGGGGACATGTGATGGGTGGTAATGTGGGAGCACAGTTGGGAGGCAGTTGTCCCCCATAACAGGAAGTGCCTGAATGAAGAACTTCATGGCAGGATTACCAGGGGGACATGTGACGGGTGGTAATGCGGGAGCACAATTGGGAGACAGTTCTCACCCCATAACAGGAAGTGCCTGAATGAAGACCTTCGTGGCAGGATCACCGGGGGGACATGTGGCGGGGTGGCAATGCAGGACCACAATTGGGAGATGGTTGCCACCCCATAGCAGGAAGTGCCTGAATGAAGACCTTCATGGAAGGATTACCAGGCGGACATGTGACGGGTGGCATTTCGGGAGCACAATTGGGAGGCAGTTGTCACTCCAGAACAGGAATTGCCTGAACGAAGACCTTCATGGCAGGATCACCAGGGGGGATGTGATAGGATGGCAATGCAGGAGCACAATTGGGAGACAGTTTTCACCCCAGAACAGGAAGTGCCTTAATGGCAGGATTACCAGGGGGACATGTGACGGGTGGTAATGCAGGAGCACAGTTGGGAGGCAGTTGTCCCCCATAACAGGAAGTGCCTGAATGAAGACCTTTGTGGCAGGATTACCAGGGGACATGTGACACGTGGTAATGCAGGAGCACAGTTGGGAGGCAGTTGTCCCCCCATAACAGGAAGTGCCTGAATTAAGACCTTTGTGGCAGGATCACCAGGGGGACATGTGACGGGGTGGCAATGCGGGAGCACATTTGGGAGACAGTTCTCACCCCCAGGACATGCTGACAGGAGAAGAGTGTTGACTTCATAAGCGTGCTGCTGCTCCTTTTTCATCCAATCACAGGGCTGTGACTAAGCTGTATTGGGTAATAGCAGTAGACAGAAGTCAGGTCACCGGCTTGGCTTTGAGGTCCTTGAGTTAACTCCAAGTAATTTCCCATCTGTGGTCACCAACATCCTTAGGATAGGTTGAACTTTCACTTAATGGAACCACATATGTTGTCATTGTTGGAATAATCGGTAAATCTGCATTACGTGACTTGCTCTCTGATAGGTTGGCGCTGAGCGTTTATATTTTTGCTTCCTGTCTCGTGCGTCTTTTCTAATTCTCTCTTTTTGTTTTTTCTCTCAATGTCCAGGCTGCAAAATCAAGGCCTTGAGGGCCAAAACCAATACATACATCAAGACGCCGGTCCGGGGAGAAGAGCCAGTGTTCATGGTGACCGGACGGCGAGAGGACGTGGCCATGGCAAGACGCGAGATCATCTCGGCGGCAGAACATTTCTCCATGATCAGAGCTTCCCGTAACAAAGCCGGCACCGCCTTCGGCAGTGCCCCGACCCTGCCCGGCCAAGTGACTATCCGAGTGCGGGTCCCCTACAGAGTGGTGGGCTTGGTGGTCGGGCCCAAGGGCGCTACCATTAAACGGATCCAGCAGCAGACAAACACCTACATCATCACGCCAAGCCGCGACAGAGACCCCGTGTTCGAGATCACGGGGGCACCGGGGAACGTGGAGCGCGCCCGGGAAGAGATAGAGACGCACATCGCGGTACGCACCGGAAAGATCCTCGAGTACAACAACGAGAACGACTTCCTGTCCAGCAGCCCGGACTCCGGCATGGAGAACCGATACCCGGAAAGCTGGCGGGTGCACAACAATGCGACCGGGTGCAAGCCTCTGTCGACCTTCCGGCAGAACAGCCTCGGCTGCATCGGCGACTGCCCGGCAGAACCGGTCTACGAGACGCCCAGGCTCAACGATCAAAACGAATTCAACTATGGGTACCTGTTCCCCAACTACAAGCAAGAGGTGTATTACGGCGTGGCCGAAACCGGGGGCCCCATGTGGGGCGGCCAGGAGAACAACAGCTCCACGCCAAGTATTTTCACCAAGCAACAGCGTTCCGGGAGCAGCGGTACAATCCAGACCAACTCGACCCAGCGGTCTCCGGAAACCGGCCTTTCTAGCTTGCCGAGGAGGAGCCAGGGGGAGGCCCTTCAGGGATTCACCAAGATCAACGCCACTCGGACCTCCATTTCAGGAAGCCGAGAGTGCATGGTCTGCTTCGAAAGTGAGGTCACGGCCGCACTCGTTCCCTGCGGACACAACCTCTTCTGCATGGAGTGCGCCGTCCGCATCTGCGAGCGCAACGAACCCGAATGCCCCGTTTGCCATGCGTCCGCCACTCAGGCTATCAGAATATTTTCTTAAGGGACACAGGGAATTGGACTGTGGGGATGAGGAAAGAAGGATAAAAAAAAAAGAAGGGTGCAAGAACCCGTGGTGCATAGAGGTCAACAACCGATGTTTAAACTTCACCGTAAAATTTTCACCGCCATCAGGAACCTTTTCAACGAGAATGTGGACAAAATGTTTACTGGTTAATGAATGGGGGGGAGGGGGTGGTCACCCTTCCCCCAAAAATCACATCTGTTTTTTTGTTTTGTTTTTACTGGGGAGCTCGTGCCCAAAAAAAAAAAGTCAACACCAGATGTACTTTTTGTATTTTTTTTTTTTTCTTTTTGTTTTTTTTTTTTTAACAGGAGAACTTTGGATAAAAGCAGGTTTTCCATCAGATGACACTTCTTTTTTTTTTTGGGTTGTGAATACATTTCAATGACGTTGAGCGGATAATAAGAACAGAGTTGATGAAAGAGGAAAACAAAAATAATTTTTGATGCAGTCCAAACCTTGACCGTCCCTCGTATCACGATTCGCTGTCGGAGGGACGGCCCTCGCCTAGAAGGTTCACGTGTACCTAGAAAGTAAAAAGTCCGATCTTCTACAACATCCGAAAAAACAAGGCTGGCGAGTGCAGCGGTCACGTGCGATGTTCTTGTTCTCCTCTCAGAGTTAAAAAAACAAACAAACAAAAGCAGGCGGCTTCAGCAGAAGGGCTAAATTGAGGATTATTGGACGAAGCGTTTTTTACGGGGCACTCAGGGGTACTTTTTTTTTTTTTTTAGCCAGGTGGAAGATTTTAGGCATTCGCAGGCCCCTCCCCTCTTCCTGCTCGCCCAGTGATGCCTTTTTCTCTCTTTTCTGCCTGACTACAGGAATCTGTTTTACCATTTTACTAGCAAAAAAAAAACAAAAAAAATAAAAACTGTTACGTATCAAACTCTGGGAACCTGCAACATGAGGACACAACACTTACCTCACGCTCAACTAAAAAAAAAAATGCAGCTCCATCTAAAAAAAAACGACAACGTAAAACACAAACCTATCCGGACTTATGCATGGAGGTCTTGCTTTTTTTTTTTTGTAGGAAAATGAAACAAAAAAAGACATGGAAAAAAAAAAATGTACTGAATTTTTTTTTACTGTGCACTGAACTTGGAGGCACCAAGAACTGTGGTCCTCTTTTATCTCGGACAACTGCCACTGTATCCGCCGGGTGTCTATGGCCATCTAAACAAGCAAAAGCAGTCAAAAGTTTTTTTCGGTGATGCAACAGAGGAACACTTCCAATTGTGTCCACGGGAATTTTTATTTTTATTTTTCCCTTGTGAATGCAAAGAAAGAAAAAAAAAGTTACTTTCTTCCTTGTAACTGGACAAGACAGAACATTTTTTTAATGATAATGCAGATATGTTGGACCAAAGTTTCACGTGCTGGACAAAAACAGAAAATTGTTTTAGAGCGTGCCATGTTTAAACTCCAGCCTTTTTTTATTTTTGAAGATCACTTGACGTGTTAGGGTCTCCTACTACTCTTTGGTTTAAATCACCCGGGGCGACAAGTCAAACCAGCCGGAGGGGGTCGCCATACAAAAGACTGCGCCATTGTCGTATTGCTCATCTCATCCAATGTTTTTGTTTCTCAGCCCTTCTCAGTTAGATTAGGGTTGGTTTAATCCAACATTTGGTGCTTCCTGGATGATGCCGTCCCCATCCTTTCTTATTTTTTTATTTTTGCTTTGGG